ATGTACAAAATGGTGAACATGAATAATCGTGGTACAAAAGTGATTATTGATGAAAATGAGATAGACAATCTCTGATCTTCCCATGGATATCCTTGATGAAATATTTAAGGACATGTCATTTCGAGAATTGATATAAACATGTGTTTGTCCAAGAAGTGGGAACATTTTTGGGCTATGCATTCAATACTAGTTCTAGATGGGGAGTTATTTGAAGAGAAAAGTGGTACTATAGGATTGATTTAAAATGGTTTTAGTAATATGATTGACAATATTCTCTTGCAACATGTTGGACCCCTAGTCAAATTTTTCCTTGATTTGTCAATCATCGATTGTAATGATAGGGACCTTGGCCATTGGTTATATGTGTAACAAGCAAACGCGTCATAGAACTTACCCTAAAAACTAACAAATGCTAACGTTATATATTGCCTTTTTGTGTATTTGATTGTCCAACTCTCACATATCTAGATGTCACTAATTTCATAGTTAAACCACCTTCTTCCAAAGCATTAGTCTCAAATCTCTTTGAATTGACCTTGAAGTTCATCAAATTTTGTCCAGAAAAAGAAAATTATGTCTTTAATACCCCATTACTTTCATCCTTAACGTTCATTGCTTGCAATGACGTTCATTTCCTTACCATATCTTCTCCTAGGATCCAATTCTTGACTATTCATGATAGTCATGACATTCGCACAAGTTTTTTTGAAAACTTGTCAAATGTTACGGAGTTGTGTCCGTGAAGAATAAAAAAATTATGAGCAAGAGAGGTTCATTACAAGGTCGCGTCTTCTTTATTTGTGCTCTAACCTAACAAGGCTTGTTTTGAGTAATTCTTGCATTCAGGTGAGTATAATATGATCAAGACATATTTCAATATTCTTTGTTATAAAGTTCTCAATAAGTGTTACTATGCTTCTCATCTATACTTAATCATTAACACATTTTTGCCTTTTTGTTTTTTCTTTTACTAAGCATTTGGGTGCAGAAATCATTCCAAAAAGGTTTCAACCAAACCTACCATTTGGAGCATGTAACATTGTGTGTGACATTTCTGGATGTAAACCAAGTCTCTGGTGTTCTTTTCTTGAGTAGAAGTTCTCCCAACTTGCAATCACTGGAGATAGATGTAATGTTTTCTCACCTTCAATAATTTAAAATCGAGTTTAAGTTATATATACACTAATAGCAGGTAACCTTTACGTGTTGTAGTAGGTAATATATCTTATTTTTAATATTACAAGTTTAACTTGGTTACCAGTAGATACTTTTCAGTGAGTTAAATACTTCACATTTTAAGAGTTTAACCTATATATGTACCGACAACATAATGAATTTTATACACTATCAATATCAGGTTATACAAATTAAAAATATCTAAAAGTAATATTTTATGGTAATGGAATTTGTAAAAATTACTGACTTTTCTTTTTTGGTCTTTTTGCACCATATGAATTTCTATAGGTTGTCAATACCTTGAGTAAAGAAAACATAGATGAAGTTACACATTATTTGGAAGATCCAAATAGTGTTGACAAATAATTTGAGAAGCTTGAATTTGATGAGCTAAGAGAGTTTGAGGGGACACAATTTGAACTCATTTTCTTAAAGCTCATATTGACATATTTCCCTTCACTTTCAAGGATGATTGTTAAACTTTCTGATGGACTTGATGTATCTGAGTTATTGGGTTTGTACGAACAATTTAGGATGTCCTAACGTATCACCAAGAGCAAAAGTCATCGTAGCACCTCATGGTTGGGATGCGTAAGTTGTATTCAAAGGCAGATTCAAAATTTTATTTCGAGTTCATAGTTTAATAGTTCAAACAATTTCAGTGACTTTTACTTTCCTTTCATGCTTAAAACTTGATGCAAAGGACCAAGCTTAGTCCAATTCTCGTACCATATATTAGTGGTGCCTCCCCTTGGTTCCCACCAAATATATTTTTCTAGCTCGGCCCTATTTTCTAATATGTACTTCCACACTTGAGATCCCTTCTTCCAAATCACAACCATACGGATTTGTTTCTTGCAATATTTATTCCACATAAAATTTTCCCAAAGGGATCTACTAGTTCTGAAATTCCACCACAACTTTGCAAACATGGCCTTGGATACATCAAAAAGAGATCTAAAACCTAGACCCCCTTCTTCTTTAGGTAAGCAAACATCCTGCCAAGCAACCCAATGTTTACTACTACCTGATTCTTTGTTGCTCCAAAAGAACCTGGCAAAAATCTTGTGTAGCTCTTTTATTACACATTTTGGAGGGACAATAGCAGATAAAGTATGAATAGGAATACTTTGTAACACGCTACAAATTAATGTAGCCTTACAATCATAAGAAAGCATCCTCCCTTTCCATGATTGAAGCTTATTCTTCATCTTTGAAATGAGCTCATTATAGTCTCTCTTACTTTTCATAGCATGGGTGATAGGACACCCTAAATAAGACAAAGGAAATTGACCTCTAGTGAAACCAGTACACTTATCAATCAATCCTACTAGCACACTAGTATTTTGATGCATGTACCAAGCACTCTTCCCTTTATTGATTAATTGACCAGACTGTTTTTCATATTTACCCAAGACTTTCATGATTTTCTTGAGAGATCTCTCATGTGCTACGGCAAATATGATAGTATCATCAGCATAAGCTAAATGGTTCAAATTAGCACTCCATTTAGGCAAACCATATCCAACATATTGATCATCTTCAAATAAAGCATTCAACGCTCTGGAGAAGATTTTTGCACTCAAGATAAATAAAGCAGGAGAAAGTGGGTCCCCCTATTTGACCCCTCTAGTGGAGTGAAAGAAACCCTGAGCCTGTCCATTTACCAATACTGAATACCAATTATTTGCAATAATTCTCCAAATGATATCAATAACCACCTCTGAAAAACCCATCTTTCTTAATACTTTCATTAAATAAAACCATGATATTCTATCATAAGCTTTTGTCATGTCAAGCTTAATGATAAGATTTGATGGTTTTCCCCTTTTTGTGATGTCAGAAGTAATTTCCTGAGTAAGCAAAACATTTTCAATAATGTTTCTTCCCTTCACAAAACCTGACTGATTAGAGGAGATCAATCTAGGTAGCACCAGTTCTAGCCTGTCATGAATAACCCTTGAGATAACTTTGTTAACAAAGTTACTCAAACTTATAGGTCGAAGATCTGAAAATGAGAGTATATCATTCTTCTTAGGCAACAACACTAGATTGGTATGGGTGATGAATTTGGGGAGAGAATTGCCTGCAAAAAAGCTATCCACCATCCTATTTAAATCTGATCCAACAATATCCCAACACTTCTGATAGAAAAGACCTGTGAAGCCATCAGGACCACTAGCACTGTCACCATTAAGATTAAAAATAGCTTTTTTAACCTCATCCATGGATGGCATAATGCTAATTAAAGCATTATCTTCTTCAGAAATAACGTGGAATGTGCCTGAGAAGAGAAAAATCTATGGCATCCCTTTCCTGAGAGAACTGTTTCTGATAGAATCTTATAGCTTCGTCTTTTATCATTTGCTTGTCCTCCAGAAGAACCCCTTGCTCATTATGAATTCTAGCGAAATGTTATCTCTTCCTTCTTCCTTTCACTAGACTATGAAAAAATCTCGTATTTCTTTCTCTCTTTTCAAACCAAGTAAAACCTGCCTTTTGCTTCCAATATTCTTCTTCAAAAAGCAAATACTTTTTGAATTCGGCTTGTGCTTTTTGCATCACTACTCTATTTAAACTACTAGGATCCTCCTCGAATAACTTCTCTTTGATCTTGACAATGTCCTCTCTAATTATTAATTGCTTAAAAATATCACCATACACCTCTTTACTCCATGAAGTAAGTGCAGTTTTCAACTTCTTTAACTTCTCTTTGAAGCTGAAAAATGGATTATCAATATCATTAGCAGTACACCAGTTCTGTCTCACAACTTGTTTGAAAGACTCATGTTCTACCCAAAAGTTAAGAAATTTAAAAGGTTTACAAATATTCACCACATGTTCTTCACAGTTTAGTAACGTAGGGGCATGGTCTGATCCAGTCCTAGAAAGATGTCCAACCTCGGTATGATTAAACCAATTTTGAAATTCATGGTTAATTAACACTCTATCCAATCTTTCAAAAATACAGTCTTCTGCAGCTCTACCATTCCACCATGTGAAAGGACTACCTCTAAAAGGCACTTCTGTGAGGTCACAATCTCCAATACAACTAGCAAAATCATCTACATCTGCAGGTTATACAACAAGACCTCCTAACTTCTCCTCGGCATTAAGCACCACATTGAAATCCCCACCAATAATCCATAGAAGACCCATGGAATTATGCAACTGTTAAATGTCTTCCCACAATGCCCTTCTTTGCACACCATCACATTTTGCATAGACAAGTGTTACGAAAAAAACTTTATTCAAAATAGTATCTTGAACCTTGATAGTGAGAGGTTGTTCTGCATCCAAAATAATATCAACTTGAAAACCTTCTTTGACAAAAATCCAAATTTTGCCATTAAAATTGAATTTTGCAAAAGGCATGCCTAATCTCCGCCTATATTTGTTGATTACACTAGCATTTTGAAAGGTTCCATTAAAGCAATAAAATTGAATTTATTTGCTTTATTAAGCATTTGAACCCTTTGAAAAGATTTTTGTGTCTTTACCGACCTTATATTCCAAAAGAAGAATTTCATCATTAATCTTTGTTCTTCTGCAAGCCTCTTCTTGAACTCGTCCTAGTAGGCAAACTCCCAATAGAATTGCTACTATTCTTCACTATTTTGCCAGATTTGTTGCTTTTGAGAAAGACCTCCTCTCTATTCTTATTATTCTCATCAACTGACCCTTTTTTAGAATTGGAAGAACTGTTCTGCTGTTGTACTTGTTGACCTTGAATCAAAGGTGGTGCATCATCATCTTCAAAATTTGAATCAACTGCATTTGTACTGCTAGATAGTTGTAGTAACTGATCTTTTTGCATCTTATGTGGTGCCTCACTTATAGAATGTGAATCAACTTCCTCTGTGCTGCTAGAACAACTATGTTGTTGAGATTGTTGTGGTTGTGATTGTGGTTGAGGAATTCTTTCAACTAAAGAGTGTGAAACAATGTCCTGTAGAATTTTCAAAGGAAAAACTGTTGCATTCTCTTGTGCTACAATAATTGGATATTCAACTACTGTCTGATTACATTTTTCATTATACTCTTCTTGACATTGTTGTCCTGATTGTTCTGTACTATCTAACTTGTAGATTGCATTTTCATTACTCATCTCCATGTTTTTATCATGGTGTTGATGTTGGTTCTCCACATTCTGCTTTGAGGTAACATTATTAATTATTAGCTCCTTATTCTCCAAGCTTTGTTCATTATCTGCTTCCTGAGATTTGTCCATATTTTTACTTGCTTCTTCCTGATCTTCAACAGAAGTTTTGACAATGTCATTCGCTTGTACTATCTGCTGCTCGGTACTTGCTTGACCCTTGCTAAAATTATTTATTGTTTCCACTGGTTTGCTACTATCAGTTGGAATTGCACCAGACACCTCTGTCTTAGAATCTTTGCTATTAGGACCTTCTCCTATTTCTGAAGTTGTATGATTTTCCAACGCCATGTATTTGTTGAAAGTTACTGTTTGCTGTTGTTGTTCTAATTTCTGCTTACCAGTTCTTCCATCTCTAACTACCTTCCATCCCCCTGGATCTCCAACTATCCGTCCACTTGACAGGATTTTAGCTTTGCCCTTTTGAAAATTATGAACATGATGAGGTTAGTTCATCCTTCTCCTGTATAAATATATTGTCAACTGGAACCTCTTCGATCACCTTTTTTTGCAGCAATCTACAATTGTGCATATCATGACCCTGCATCCTACACTCCAAGCAATACTTAGGAATATAGTCATATTTAATCATAATCTTCTCAGTCTTCACACATCTAGAATCTTCATCAACAACTTTCAAAACCACTGATTTGGGAAGATTTGCTGCCAAGTCCACTAAAACCCTAACCTTTGCACAACTAGGTCGAGTTTTATTGCTAGTGGCTTGATCTAATTACAAAGGTTTCCCCACCACAGTTGCAATTGCAAACAAACTCTCTTGACCAAAAAAAGTTGGTAGAAGATTAGGAAAAGAGATCCAGGCCATAGTCTTTGTGGTTTCCTCATCAATCTTAAAGTTCACATCGTAGATCAAGGTCCTCATTAAGTATGAATAACCTTCCTTAGATGTAATATAGAATTCCCCTTTTGAGATGAGATTGATGTAATCTTCCTTAGAAAAAAGTCTAATTAGGATGTGTTTATTTCGAAACAATCCTACATTGCAATTTCCTTTGATGTTGCATTGTTTTGGAATCGCCTCCCTTAAATCATCCATGTCTGGCCACCCATGCGCAAACTTTCCAACAACTGCAAATTGTAAGCCCTCTTTAATATTCATTTGTTCCACTTCTGTCATTGTCTACTGTATATGGGGCACTCCGTTCACATAGGAAACTGACTTATGAGGAACACTCATTAATGCATCTGCTTGATTTTGTAGTTGATCTGAAAAAGAAACCTCCTTAGGGAAAGAAGAAATATTTGAATTATCATTAGAGTTGATACCTCCTAAGCCTGGGAATTCCGAAAAGCATGTTAACAAAGGAAGGCAAGCCACCATCAATGGCTGGCCTCCACCAGCGGCAGCCATAGTAGGTCAATTATTTAATCCAACTTTTTAACAATTCTTTAATCCAACTTTTGATATGTCATGTTTAAGACCACAGATTAAATGTCATTTTGATATTTTACAAATCTTTAATTTAAGACCATAGGATTGAAAAACCTTCTTTAATTTCTTAAACATTGTGTTAAGTCAAAATATATAAGTCTAACAAATTAAAAGGAAATGAGTGTTATTTTTGGTCTTGAATAAAGCAAGATAAGGTCATTTGTTTATGTTGATAGGAGTGTCAAATAAATGGGTTCAATTTGATCAAGGCAGATCAAAATGGATTGATTTAATAATTGACCGAGCGAATTATCAATAATTATTTGTGTTGAGGGTTGGGTTCTCATGATAGGCTTAACAGTGGATCATAGCCCAGTCTACTAAGCATATATCATTTTAGAAATTACTTTGTTTGTTTTCTTTTAACTCTTTTACCAAACAAAACATATAACTTTTTCTTTATCTTAATTAAGGCTCTGTATCAGTTGTGAAGCTAGGAACTTTGTTAAGAATGTTCTAAATTTTAGTATATACCTCTAAATAATTGTTTTGATTTATATACACAATATTATTTTTGATGTTCACAATATAATATTTTGATGAAGTGTGTTTGAGTGACCACCAAGTGATTAACATAGCTACGTCCCTACTGTATATGATAAAATAATCTGATGAGCTTTCTCTGTAGTCAATTTGGGATAGCTAATTAACCCAAATCAGCCGAACTTTTAGATGAATTAAATTGAGCGGGTTAAAATGACTTGAGTTAATAAACGTATGAGTGATTACTTTAACCTATTCAAACTTAAATAATAAGGCGAATCAAGATTTCATGGGCTAGTTTTATTATTCTTACTAGTCCTGGACACGTTCTTTACACGTGAGTCCTGTGAAAGGTATGGATTACTGTCAAAATCACATTTTAATCAGTATCACAAGCTATTCAAAAAATAATAATTTTAAAATAGATGAACAATCAATGTATTCAAACAACTTCTTCTTTTTTAATTTGTCAAACAACTTCTTTATTGTATGTCAAATGATTAGACATTTGATGAACCTGCAAAATTTAGTTTGGTAACTAAAATAATGAGTTACATTTTTATGTTATTAGGTCCAAACATATAATATATTAGTATGTGCAAAAATGAGTAAAAAAAATGATTAATGGTTCTCATTTAAATGAACAATAATAAAATTTCTACATACACATTAAATTGATATTTATACTTCAAGTCTGACACCCATACAATTCTAAGTGCTTCATGGAAGAAAAATTCTATAATGGAGAAAGAAAGTAAGAACGAAAAGTTGAGGATATTGCAAAGAAAGTCCTCATGCTCTGAAAAGAAAACTTTGTTATTGTTAGAAACAACATATCAACATAAGACTGATCACTGTTTAATACTACACATGCATTAAATTTACTCTCTTTTTTTCCGCTGTTATTCTTTCCTCTTGATTACCAATTTTCAGCATTCTTTTGGTTACCCTCACTTGCAACTTCTAACTCTCTTATCTTCTCATGTTGAATTGTGCAATTTCCTTAATTCGATTTCCTATTGTGAGCTTCCATCTTTGTATGTTGGTTCTTAAATAGCATTAGGAAATGACCCTTTAAATTTAAATTTAAATTCTGAAATTGATTTGTACATTAAAGTGATGAATGACTTTCCATATCATAACTTTTCAAATTCTTCCATTATGAGATTTATGATTACGATTAAAAGCAATATCAATGTACTCATTTATCAAGAAAATGGTAATTAATTATTAAAGGGCTTAAAGACTTCAAATTCTACCATTATGTAATTAAAATATTTATATTTAATCAAATTTTAATTTAGTAGAAGGGGAAAATGGTAATTCAACTTTTCATTTTGGAGCTTCCCACTTATAATAATATATGATATGATGATGATTTGAGTGACACTATCCTAAAGTTGATATTCGTTCATTCTTTTTACATGGGATTGCTATTAAATTGAATGAAAACAGTTTTAGTAGGTATGACAAAATCTTTTAAATTTATGCACACATGATACATAAGACGAAGACAAATATACTCCAAATTCATGTTTTATTTAATTAGAACTCTCAGTACCTATATTTGATTTAAAAAAACTTTCTGTACGTTTGTGAGATTTTGCTTGTAACAAATGTCTTGGAGAAAAATCTGAAGGTTTACTGCAAAACTGTCAATTACTCTTAGTGCAACATAAACTTTTTTTTTTTTTGGGGGGGG